TGCTTACCTTGCTCCCGGAGACCCGGTCCCTCTCGGGAGGGTAACAATGGAAAGTGTTCAGTGCAGATCAGTGAGTAAGCACCAGCCCGCCCGTGCTTACCTTGCTCCCGGAGACCCGGTCCCTCTCGGGAGGGTAACAATGGAGCCATCTGAGCACTCTCTGTGCTCTCCTATAATAGATTTTTACTTAAGGTCTATTTTGTCTGGTATTAAAATCACCATGCCAGTTCTCTTTTAGTTACTATTTGTGTGGAATGCTTTTATTCCATCCTTTCACTTTCAATCTACTGGTGCCTAAGATGAGTCTCTTATAGATAGCATATAGTTCAGTCATTTTTTTAATCCTCTGCCATTCTCTGCCTTTTGACTTGGTTGATTTCTTATAGTATTCAACTAGAGATTTAATATACACTTACATTCTGTTTTTTATTTTTTAATTGGTTCAACTTTTTGTTTAATTTTAAATGCATCTATGATCTATTTCGTTATATAATGTGGAACAGCTGCATTTTTTTCTTTGTTTGTTTCCTCCTACTGTTTCAGAGAGATACACACTTGCATGGTATTTATTTCAAACCTAATAGGAGTTGAACTGGACACTGTTAGAAATTCATCCCTCTTTATCCAACAAAAGCATGTACACATGAATGTGTGTGCACATACACACACTTCACAAAAGGACCTACACACACACTTCCTTATGCATTAAAATTTTGCTGAGAGCCTCATCTCTGCTGCTTAGCACCAATACACAAAGAGAAACCCTCCTCTTCCTCCATATAGTCTGTTCCCTCTTTGAGGAAATAGTCCATGTTAGAAGCTTCTACACACTACTGGAGGGATGCGTAGATTGCTAGTGTGTGCAGGTGAAGCATAGTTTTCTGATCAGCACTTCATATTCCTTTCCTCATGTCTTTGAGTTAAGGACATCCTTTACCTCTTGGAGTCAGGAAGGTGATAGTTACCTCAGAAAAGGTAATGTTGATTTTTACTTCCATTTAGATCTAGCATTGTATTAAACTGAAATTAGTACTGCTATTGCCATGGGTTAAGTTATTATCTTTATTTTCTACTGCTGATAGATATGTTTACCTATGTTTGAATGTTATGGTTGCTATTTTAGTAAAAATTTGGGAACATGAGTCCTGGGTCCCTGGACCCACACTACAATCTTCCTTGGAAATCAACCTATACTTTTCTTTAGTATTATTCTTTAGGTGTTAACAATGTTTTGTTCACAGATGAAAAAGGAAACAATGAAATTACATCCACATTTAAGAGAATGTCTCAAGGCCAAAGTCAAGAACTACTAGAGTCATTTTCAAAAAAAGGTAAATTAATATTTGATTCTTTTAGCTCCTTCAGAACACATGTAGCTCTTTTAGAATGTAGAAGGAGAAATATGTGGGGGTTTTTTTCAAATTAATATACAACTTACTTTGTCTTAAAAGGTAAGGCAACAACACAACACACTGCCATTGAGTAAGATCCGACTCATAGTGACTCCTCCTAGGGTTTCTGAGGCAGTATCACTACAGAAGCAGATTGCCCAACCTTCCTTTCTAGGTGTGGCTGGTGGGTTTGAACCACCAGCCTTCTGGTTAGCAGTCAAATGCCTTAGGCACTACACCACCAGAGCTCCCATCTTAAAGGGTACTCTATCATAAATAGTTGGACAAGCAAAAACACAGAAAAAATAACATGTGAAATATTGTTTTGGTGAAAATGAGTATTAGGAAAACCAGAGATCTGTTTTTCTGCTAAGCATTCCTGGCATATGGCTTTCATAATCATTCACAATATGGCTCCCGGAGCTCCAGCTATCATGTCAGTGTTCCTCACAAGAAGAGGGGAAAAGCCAAGGGATAAAAAAAATGGGCACTCTATCTAGCTGACACAGCTTTCTTTAAAGAGATGCTAAATAAATGGACAGATATACCATATACAGGGATTGAAGGGTCAATATTGTTAAAACATTAATTATCCCCAAAGTCTGCATACATCTCATTGGTTATCCCAAGCTATAAGAAAAGCTGGAAGACAATCCCATTGCTAGCAGTATATCCTAAAGAGTTGAAACCAGAGACATGAATAGATGTACACCCATGTTTATAGCAGCACTGTTTACAATAACAAAGAGGTGGAAACAACATAAGTGCCCATCAACAGAGGAATGGACAACCAAACTATGGTACATACACACAGTGGAATATTATGCAACATTAAGGAAATAATGAGAATCAGTGAATCACCTCATAATGTGGATGAACTTAGAGGACATTATGCTGAGTGACAAAGTCAATCACAGAAGGACAAATATTAAATGACTCCATTATTTTAAAAAGTCATGGAAAGGTTTACACAGAGAAGGAAATTTTCTTTGTTGGTTACCAGGGAATGGAGGGGAGAGGTAGGGAGGGAAAACAGATGGATAATTAAGAAATAGGTATGGTATGAGTGAAGGGGTTTAAAAAAGAAAGAAAGGAAAAATATGGCAGGAACTTTGACTGGCATTACACTGAATCTATAGATCAAATTGGGGATAATTAATGTTTTAACAATATTGACCCTTCAATCCATGTATATGGTATATCTGTCCATTTATTTAGGTTTTTGTTCATTTCTCTGCAATGTTCTTATTTTTTCAGTGTATAGGTCCTGCTTATCTTTCATTATATGTATCAATAAGTATTTTTAATTTCTTATTGTTCATTGCTAGTATATAGAAGTACAAAACACAGTGGAATTTTTATATATAAAAAAGAGAGCACGAAGCTGGAAGATATGGTCTTTTTAGCCAGGCAAATTGCTGGCACCAACAAAGTCAGGGTTCTGTTCCTAAGGAAGAGGAGAATGGATTCTGGGTGGACAACTGACAGCTCCTAGCATATCTAGTGTCTGTGCCTGGTTAATATCTGCCTCATCATGCCCTCTACTAAGGTTTCAGGAAGACATGATGTATTCTGGGAACTGCCTGGTCTCTCCATCCCTAAGAACAGGTTTCTCACTGCAAGGAAGGGAGAACCACAGACAACTGCCCTTTGAAGGCCCTTTTGGGCTTTTCTGGGGTAGGATCAATTGGGCCTTGTCCGAAGACTTTGAGAGATGGTGCCCTGGGGCAGCAGCCCAGGAAGCACAACTAGAGGTGATGAGGCAGAGGAGCAGATGGAGCCTCTGGTCTCGTTAGAACAGTGGATGAGATTTCACATCAGGGTGCAGCCTGAGAGCCACACAATGAGATACCTTAGCTCCAAAAGAAGGTAAGAAGCAAGTGTAGTACTTGAAAAACCAGCCTATGTGACCCTTTTCCTCATCCACTCCACCTTACCTCCCTCTTGTCCTCTTACTATCCTATGTATCTCATGCTTGCAATTGGAAGCATTCGTCTTGTTTTCTCACTCATTCCCTAAATGCGTTTTTGTTTGTTTGTTTGTTAAATTTCACCACTGGATTCCTTTGGTCCCTACCTCTTCTCCTTATCTTTCTTGGTTTTGATTCCTGCCTGTCATAATTTTTTTTTTTTTTTGCCTCATTCACTTTCATTCTGATGTACTGGTTTGAAGTCCCTGCTCTGATAGTTTTTTGATTCCTGAATTAACACTTCCTCTTCCTATTCTTATCTCCCTTTTCTTGCAGCATGCACTGCAGTGACACAAAGATAATACTTTCATGGGGCAGCTATTAACAGTCACGTTTTATTGCCAATAGCATTGTCCACTAAAATCATTAATGGCATTAATTTATTAACTTATTTTACTTTAGTTTCAATAGAAGACACAATACAAGAGGTAACTGCAGACCATCCAGAGGTTGTTGCCATGATTGAGGAAACTGTAAAAATGGCAAAAGATATGAACTTCGACCAGCCATATGAAAAACATGCTGAAATTTTAGAGGAAATCCTCATAGAGGTAAGAAACCTAGGCTGTTAATTTTAACACTGATTTAACAATAACTATTCAGGAGCTCTGGTAGCATAGTGGCTAAAGCACTTGACTGCTAACCAGAAGGCTGGCGGTTCAAACCCACCAGCCACTCCTCGGAAGGAAGGTTGGGCAATCCTACTTCCGTAGTGATACTGCCTCGGAAACCCAAGGAGGGGTCGCTATGAGTCGGGGCCGACTCGACGGCATTTAACAACATAACAACAACATTCAAAATAATATAGACAAAAATGTTAATCTACTGTGTGTATGTGTGTCTGTGTGTCTCATTTGACAATATTGAAATCTATAGCCTTAAAATTCACATGCATTTTGTAGTCAACACCATTATGTATAATATATCCCAGTGAACAACTGCTGATGCTCTTTGGTAAATTTTGATTATCAAAGAAACTTGCTTAGGGCTGCAGATCATATGAGGTTAAAGTCAGAAACAAGACAATAATGTTCCTAATATACCCATTTTTAATGTTTTATGGAATTTTAGCTATATAAAAATGTCTTGAAACATAAATAAGAGGTATAACTCTTAGAACAGAGAACAAGTGGAATCATTTTTGCAGATGATAATATATATCTAAAATTACGCAAGAAAATAATCTGAAAAACATTAAGAGCTAACAAGCATATTTATAAATAAAGTAGCCAAAGGAATAAAAATCCTATACACAATAGGAACAGAAATGTAAAATAACTATGTTGTTGTTGTTAGGTGCCATCGAGTCAGCTCTAACTCATAGCAACCCCAAGCATGACAGAATGAAACACTGCCCAGTCATGTGCCATCATCACAATCCCTGCTATACTTGAGCCCATCATTGCAGCCACCGTGTCAATCCATCTTGTTGAAGGTCTTCCCTTTTTCACTGACCCTCCACTTTACCAAACATGATATCCTTCTCCAGGAAACGGTCCCTTCTGACAACATGATCAAAGTAAGTGAGATGAAGTCTGGCCATTCTCGCTTCCAAGGAGCATTCTGGCTGCACTTCTTCCAGGACAGATTTGTTTGTTATTCTGGCAGTCCATGGTATTTTCAGTATTCTTTGACAACACCACAATTCAAAAGCATCAACTCTTCTTCGATCTTCCTTATTCGTTGTCAAACTCTCACATGCATAAGAGGCGATTGAAAATACCATGGCTTGAGTTAGATGCACCTTAGTCTTCAAAGTGACATCTTTACTCTTCAGCACAAAAGAGGTCTTTTGCAGCAGATTTGCCCAATGCAGTAAGACATCTGATTTCTTGTCTGCTGCTTCCATGGGTGTTGATTGTGGATCCAAGTAAAGTGAAATCTTTGACAACTTCAATTTTTTCTCCATTCATTGTGATGCTGCTGATTGGTCCAGTTGTGAGGATTTTCGTTTTCTTTATGTTGAGATGTAATCCATGCTGCAGACTGCAGTCTTTAATCTTCAACAGTAAGTGCTTCAAGTCATCTTCACTTTCAGCAAGCAAGGTTGTGTCACCTGCATATCACAGGTTGTTAAATGACCGTGGTAAGCTTAAAACAGAGATGGAGAATCCACATGAATAAAATTATTAAACTTGAAACGTGAACATAAACAGATGTCAACAAACATGTAATTTCTTATAAGTAAGGACAAGTATTATTAAGATGGCTTTCTTAAACTAACTATAGATTCCATGCTATTCTAGTAAAAACTTGAATTTCATTTTTTTCATAAATGGCCCTCAAGGTTTTTGGGAGAACCAGTGGCTGAGACTTGCTAAGAAAGTTTTGCAAATAAATATAGGGGAGGACGACTTGCTCTGCCAGCTAGAAAAAAGTGTTGTAATGCTAGAATGGTATACAACCCTGATGGTCATACAAGACTCCACAGAACACAGAGAAGGTACAGAAACAGAACTTAGTATAGATACAAATTTAAAGGAAAGGAAACGTGATTTAACAGTGTTAATAAAATTAACTTTTGGAGATAAAACAATCATGATTCTCACCTTAAAATCAAATTAAAAATATTACCCATATAAGTGCATTTAATTTTTTTTTTAAAGGAAGGGGCATTTTTTAAAACTAGAAGAAAGTGTGTGATATTGAAATGATCTTGAATGGTCAAGGAGTCTAGGCGCAATGCAACAGAAGAACTCTTAAAATATATCAATAGATCTATAGAGAGACTACTTGATAATGAATACCTCTATTAAAATCAAAATTTTAAGGCAAAGTAAATATGACATATTAATTCCTTAATATAAAAATTTCTTACAAACATATAGGAAAAATCTAATACCCTGATATAAAAGCAAGCAAAGAAAGGATATAAAAAATAATTTATCAAAGAAGAAATACAAATGGCTAATGAAAAACTTCAGTATTACAACTTGAGTTCAACAAATAGATTCCCTGCTGGAGGTTCTTACTTGTCTGTGCCAAGAAATTTGGAAGACAGCTACCTGGCCAACTCACTGGAAGAGATCCATATCTGTACCCATTCCAAAGAAAGTTGATCCCACAGAATGTGGAAATTATCAAACAATATCATTAATATCACACACAAATAAAATCTTGCTGAAGGTAATTAAAAAATGGTTGCAGCACTATATTGATGGAGAACTTCCAGAAATGCAAGCTGGATTCAGAAGAGGATGTGGAATGAGGGATATCATTGCTGATGTCAGGTACATCTTGGCTGAAAACAAAGAATACCAGAAAGATGTTTACTTGTGTTTTATTGACTGTACAAAAGCATTCAATTTTGTGGATTGTAACAAATTATGGATAACATTGAGAAGAATGGGAATTCCAGAACACTTCATTGTACTTGTGAGGAACCTGTACATAGACTAGTAGGCTGTCATTCAAACAGAACAAGGGGATACTGCATGGTTTAAAATCAGGAAGGGATTATGTCAGGGTTGTATCCTTTCACCATACTTATTCAATCTGTATGCTGAGCAAATAATCTGAGAAACTGGATTATATGAAAAAGAACATGGCATCAGGTTTGAAGGACGATTCATTAACAACCTGTGATATGCAGATGACACAACTTTTCTTGCTGAAAGTGAGGATGACTTGAAGCAATTATTGGTGAAGATTAAAGACTACAGCCTGCAGTATGGATTACATATCAACATAAAGGAAACAAAATTCCTCACAACTGGACCAATAAGCAGTATCACAATAAATGGAGAAGATATTCAAGTTGTCAGAGATTTCATATTACTTGGTTCCACAATCAACACCATAGGAAACAGCAGTCAACACATCAGTTGACGTGTTGCACTGGGCAAATCTGCTGCAAAAGGCCTCTTTAAAGTGCTGCAGAGCAAAAATGTCTCTTTGAAGACTAAGGTGAGCCTAACCCAAGCCATGGTATTTCCAGTCACCTCAGATGCATGTGAGAGCTGGAAAATGAACAAGGGAGACCAAAGAAGAGTTGATGCTTTTGAATTGTGGTGTTGGCAAAGAATACTGAAGATACCATACACTGCCAAAAGAACTAACAAATCCGTCCTAGAGGAAGTACAGCCAGAATTCTCCTAGGAAACAAGAATGACCAGACTTCATCTCATCTACTTTGGTCATGTTGTCAGAAGGGACCATTTCTTGGAGAAAGATAACATGCTTGGTAAAGAGGAGGGTCAACAAAAAAGAGTAAGGCCCTCAATGAGATGGACTGACACAGTGGCTGCAACAGTGAGCTCAGGTACAGAAGGATTGTAAGGCTGGCACAGGACCGGGCAGTGTTTCATTCTGTTGCACATAGAGTCGCTATCAGTTGGAGCTGACTGGACGGCACCTACAACAACAACGAAAAACTTTAATGTTCATGTTTCAAAAAGATATGAAGATTAAAGCAATTTCTCACTTGTCAAATAGGCAAAGATTTTTAAAAACTTACATTAGTACTAGTGAGGATGTAATGATTTAGTCACTTTCAAACACTATTAAACCAAAAACCAAAACCACTGCCATCAAGTCAAACTCATAATGACCCTGTGGGTTAGGGTGAACTGCCCCATAGGGTCAGTTTACAGATGTAGACTGCCACATCTTCCTCCCATCGAGCAGCTGGTGGGTTTGAATTCCCAACCTTTTGATTAGCAGCCAAGTACTTTAACCACTGCACCACCAAGACTTCTCAGACACTGTTACTCACTGCCATTGAGTCAATTCCAACTCATAGCAACTGCCCCCTAAGGTTTCCAAGGCTGTAAATCTTTACAGAAGCCAACTGCCTCATCTTTCTTTTGGAGCAGCTGATGGGTTTGAACCACCGACCTTTTAGTTAGTAGCCAAATATGTTAATCATTATGCCACCAGATCTCCTTCAAACACTGTTAGGAGGAGTGAAAATAGATGCAGATGGTTTTGAAAGGAAAATGGCAACATGTATGAAAAATGTTCACTCCTTTATTTCTTTTGACCCAATAATATCTCTATTAGGAATCTAGCCTAAGTAAATATATAATCTCTGGACAAAGATTTATATATAAAAATGTTGATCACAATGTTATTAATGACAATAAAATTAGAAATTGTATAAATGTCTAACAGTTTCTGAGGCAGTATCACTATGGAAGTAGATTGCCAAACCTTCCTTCTGAGGAGTGGCTGGTAGGTTTAAACCGCCAGCCTTCTGGTTAGCTGTCAAATGCCTTAGGCACTGTGGTATAGTAAATTACTTTGTGTGGCTTTTCTACCCATAAGTCTTTGTAAACTCCAAGGTGGGATTTGCTATGAGCAACTGAGGAGCTCCTGATTGCAGAAGTTGTCCACCTGGAGTATTTCTGTTGGGAGTGGCACAAAACAGTGTTCTGGGAGGTGCCCACTCT